TTCTACTGCTCCATCAGGGACCCTCTGTTGTGTTCCCTGTCAGGACGTTCATTGGTGGTAGCCGGGCACGGTCTAGTTCTTCTGGTCTCAGGCTTATGAAGTCTCTGGTTTATGTGGCCCATTCTGTCTCTTGGGCCAATACTTTCCTTGTGCCTCTGTTCTTTGTTCTCCTTTACTCCAAGTGGTTGGGACCAATTGATGCATCTTAGATGGCCGCTTGCAAGCTTTTAAGACCCCAGATGCCGCTCACCAAAGGAGGATGCAGAACATTTTCTTAATAAGGTTATGCCAATTGACGTAGATGTCCCCTGAAAGCATGGTCCCCAGACCCCGCATCCCTGCTACTCTGTCTCTCGAAGTATTCGTTTGTATTGAGGAAACTTCTTAGCTTTGGTTTAGTCCAGTTGTGCTGGCTTCCCCTGTAGAGTGTGCTGTCCTTCCCTTCACCTCAGATCATTCTTATCTACTATCTAGTTAGTGAATAACCCTCACCCTCCCTCCCCACCCCCGTAACCATCAAAGAATGTTTTCTGTGTTTAAACCTTTTCTTGAGTTCTTATAATAGTGGTCTTATACAGTATTTGTCCTTCTGTGCCTGACTAAATTCACTCAGCATAATAAGTTCTAGCTTCCAGCAAGTATACGATGTTTCACAGCTTCATCATTGTTCTTTATCGTTGCATAATATTCCATTGTGTGGATATACCAGTTTCCCCTAAGTATATGTTCTTGAAGGAAGGAGAGTGAATCAAATATTTAATGGAAAGGGTAGACTGCGGTAGTCATTAAGAGTTATTCACAAATACTGACTCTCAACTGGGCAAAAGGTAGGCCTGCAGTTCCCTGACCAGGTGAAGTCTGATGTGGGCCGATGACTTGCTTGGTCCAATGAAATGTGAACAGAAGTCACGTGTGACAATTTTAGGTGAGTTTTAAAACTCAGTGCCCCTTTTGCTGTACTATCTTCTTGGCTTTGTCACAATGGTAGACAACATTCCAGGAACTGTTGTCAGCCTAGGTGAACCACTCATGGGTATGTAGCACATGAAAGATACATCTTTAAGTCATTGAAATTTTGGTGTTTTAAGGCAATACAACTAGTCTATCCTGACTGATAAGAGAAATTGGGAAAATTGTTCATTGTGTCTTCTTTATCTCCAGTCTGAAATTCTTCCATGCCCACTGTTAATGTTTGCTGTTGAGTCAATTCCAACTCATAGTGACCCTACAGGACAGGGTAGAATGGCCCCATGGTGTTTCCTAGGGTGTAATCTTTATGGGAGCAAATTGCCAGGTCTTTTCTCCTACTGAGCAGCTGGTGGGTGCTTAACCATTGCACCACCAGGGCTCCTTCCATGCTGTTATGAATTGTGTTCCCCAAAAATGTGTCAGCTTGGCTAGGCCATGATTCCCAGTATTGTGTGTTGTCCACCATTTTGTGATCTGATGTGATAATCCTATGTGTTGTAAATCCTAACCTCTATGATGTTAATGAGGCAGGATTAAGAAGCAGTTATGGTAGTGAGGCAGGACTCAATCTACAAGATTAGTTTGTATTTTGAGTAATCTCTTTTAAGAGATGTAAAAGAAAAGCTAGCAGAGAGGAGAGGGACCTCATTACCACCAAACAAGAAGAGCCAGGAGTGAAGCACATCCTTTGGACCTGGGGTCCCTGCACTGAAAAGCTCCTAGACCCAGGGGAAGTTTGATGCCAAGACACATGGAGATTTCCAAGGAATGCCAGGCCCAGAGATGTTGAAAGCAGGCAAGGATCTTCCTCCAGAGCAGACAAAGAGAGGAAGCCTTCCCTTAGAGTTGGCACCCTGAATTCGAACTTCTAGTCTCCTACATTGTGAAAGAATAAATTTCTGTTTGTTAAAGCCACCCACTTGTGGTATTTCTGTTACAGCAGCACTAAATAACTGAAACACATGCCCACTAGGCTACCCTTAATCTCCCTCCTGGATTACAATATGATCAGTGGGACCAACTCTCTGCTTCCAGTCTTGTTCCCTCCAATTCACTCACTACATTATAACCAAAACGAGCTTTCCCATGTTTTTGAAACATGATTAAGGCCAATAATGACCTTTAAGCAACTTAAATTGTTCTAACCAAAAGCTGAGAGTTGACTAATACAGTGATTTAACTGTTTTAGAATATCTTATATTTAAGCCGACATTTTTGATATGCTGTATATATACACGGTGGTCTTTCAAGAAAGGGAATGGATGCTATCTAGAGGGAATCATGTCTTGAAAGCTGCCTGCAAATGATTTAGTTTTACCTGTAAAAAATGAGATCAAAACAGCACTAAGTTGCCTTGTAAATACTCAGTAATATATATAGGCTTGGTAATATGGCTGTGGTGGTTTAAAATATATGTCCATAAATTCTGACACCCCTCCCTTTAAGAGATGAACCTTAATACTCCTCCTTCTGAATGTGGGTGAAGTGCAGAGGATTACTTAATATGGCCCTTTTAGGCATGCACGGTTTTTTAACTCCCACGCAATGACTGGGTGGAACTATACAAATAAGGTGCTTGTGGCCCACCAAGGGGATTGGACAGCTTGCTAACAATGCAAATAAGGTGCATGAAACACCTTATTAAAAAAAAAAAAACAACACTGCCGTCAAGTCAATTCCAACTCATAGCGACCCTATAGGACAGAGAGCTGCTCCATAGGGTTTCCAAGCTGTAAATCTTCATGGAAGCAGACTGCTACATCTTTCTCCTGTGGAGCAGCCGGTGGGTTTGAATTGCTGACCTTCTGGTTGGCAGCTGAGTACTTCAACCAATGCACCACCAGGGCTCCTCTGACCATGCAGATAAGGTATATAGAACCCTAATGAGGGGATTGGTCAGTTTTGCCATCCCACTAGGCTTGAAAAGACAGCCAATCCCAGAGCAGAGGAGGGACCTCACTACCACCAATAAAGAAGCCAGGAGCAGAGCACGTCCTTTGGACCTGGGGTCCCTGCGCTGAGAACCTCCTAGACCCAGGGGACAGAGAAAACTGTAACACAGGAGACAGCGCAAGACAGTGAGAAGCAGTAGCAGAGAAACTGTGGCAGCAGAACCAGAAGACTGGCTTGAGACAGCACGGTGGGCTTTCTGGCCCATGGAGCAAAGTGGCTACAGTGGGTGTGCCCATCCATGAAGTTACACAGCTAAGAGTCTTCGGGCAGGAGGCTTCCTGGTGGAGTGGGGTGCCAACCCACGAAGCAAGAGAGCTGAGCACCTTTGGGCAGGAGGCTTCCTAATGGAGTGGAGTACCTCCGGGCACTTGTCAGCAGAGCTAGGCTTGCTGACCCAAGGAGCAAGAGAGATGAGTGCCTTCAGGCAGTGGGGTGCCTCTTGGCACTTACCCGCAGAGCTAAAGAGTTTTGTTAACACTTGCCCAAGCCATGTGGGGGCCAGGCCCGAGTGGGGCCAAGGGCTGAGGGCAGGCCTGTCCTGAGGAGGCTGAGAGGAGTCCTGCATGGCTAAAAGGAGCTGAGAGAGCTGTCCTGCACTGAAGGGATACTTTGCCTACATGCTTCCTGATCCTGATCTCAAGTTGTAACCTGTTACTTTCCTAATAAACTCCGTAACTGTGAGTATAGTCTGCCACAAATTATTGAACCCAGCAGAGAGTGCCTTGGGAGGGATGGCTGGTGTTAGAATTGGTAAAAAGGTTGGAGGGTGGAGATATATTTGACCTCCACCTCAGAGGAGTCAGCCTTGGGCTGCTGATGGTTTAATTCTCTCTCCCACCCGAGTCAGAGGTCCGACACTGCCACCATGCCCTTTTTGCAGTGGGCCAGATCCAGTGACTTGCTTCTAAGATGTGACAGAAGTCATGTTACACCACTTCTAAGATTAGGTTATTAAAGACTTTGGTGTTCATATTGGGCATGCACTCTTTGTCTTGGGTCACTTATTCTGGGGGAAGCCATCTACCACCACTGTGAGCTGCCCTTCAGAGACCCACATGACAAGGAACTGAAGGACATTTCCGGTCAATAGCCAGCAAGGGGACCAAGGCCTTTAGTCCAACAGCCTGTGAGAAACCGAAGCCAACCAACGACCACATGAGTGAGTTTGGAAGGGGATCCTTTAGACCCAGTCAAGCCTTGACATTACCTATCCGTGGGTGAAAACTCGACTCTAACTTCATAAGAGACCCTGAACCAGAACCACTGAGCTTAGCTACTTATGGATTCTTGACCGACAGAAATTGTGAGAGAATAAATTGTTGTATTAAACTGCTAAGTTTTGGGGTAAGTTGTTATTCAACAATAGGATATTAATACATTGGCTTATAACTTGAAAAGCTCCCATGTGGCACTGCCAAAGGAGGCGCCTCATTCTTTATTTTCCATAATGATGCCAATTCAGCTTTTAAAGCTATTTGTTACTTATAGTAAGTTTGGTGGTGAATAACAAGTAAATTTGTTCAGTTATGGATCAAGCTTAAGGCATGCTTCTAAGTAAAAAGCTAATTTTTCTAGTATAGGAAAATGTCAATAAAAGTCCTAAGAATGTTTGAAATAACACCAGCACAATCAAAATAAGTGTATATTCCTATAATAAATAATTGAAAGACAGTACTAATTTGGATATGTAATTTTTTAAATTCTTCCTCCCTGACAAGGTCACTACTTTCTAGTCGTACCACATAGGATGGATATATCAAGCCAGATTTTTGAAAATCATAATGTACTTTGTGAAATTAGTATTGTGATATTTACATTAAAGTAAAGGTCTTCTTTGGAATTAGCAGAAATGACCACTAGATGCCACTGTCATTACTTTTTTTTTTAAGAAAAAAAGGATCACAGAACCATTTAGAAACAACAAAACCAATTTTTATGTCATAACTAACACTAGAACAGAAATTGTTGAATTGTGTCAATAAAGAGCAAGACCTTTGTTTTCACTACACAGAAGTTTATTGTGAAAGTAAATTAAACATACAACACACAGTATGGCTAATGGTGGCAAAAGCAATCTGGTAGCTTAAGGCAAATTTTAGTGGAAATGATTTTAGAAAAGATGATGCAATGATGTAATTTCATTTAAATAGAGATTATGAAAAATATCAAATTGCATCAATAACTTAATAAAAGTAGTTCTTAAAGCCTGCACTATTGGAGGAAAAGGGCTCATGATCTTAATGCCAGCATTAAGACAGACAGAAGCAGCAGTGCTAAATGGTAAGAAAAATTCAGTATTTACAGAAGGATGGCAATATAAACATTTAATAACATTTGATCTTATTTACTGATGAACAGCCCTTAGCTAGAAGCAATAGAGAACAATGTACCATCAGCATGTTATTTAAAAAAAAAAAAATTAAGTGCAGAAGTCAGAAACCAAGGAGCTCTGTGATAAAGTAACCTTAAAACACCACTGTAAGGGCCACTTAAAAGGCAATTTCCTCAGGGGAAATTAGGGCACTGAGTGTGTAAACATGTGAGCTGCACACCACCAAATACCAACCAAACTCACTCATAGAACTTAGATATAGAAGATCAGCAAGACCTTTATGGTGTATTATTGTTTGTAACAATTTAAACACACTCCTTACCATGCATGACTTCAAATATATAACAACTATTTTTATTCTGAGATAGAGGATATCTGTTTATGAATTATAAGATCTATATACAATGAAAGTCATGCCTCCTTAATCAATCACGTAATTTAATACACTTTTTAAATGTAATGACCTCATTCAGACTTCAGTTTTTTTTACTGAACTGACCATGTCAGTTTTTCAAACTCTTTTAAAATAATGCCATTCTATTATGCTAAAATACATTTTTGCAAAAATTCAGAAATGTAGCAACATTTAATGAATGACCATGAAAAGTATTTCTAAGAAGGTGCCAAATGACTTAGCACTTTTTTCCAGTCTTATATTAAAAAAAAAAGCTGCACTCAATTTGATACTGAATCTATTTAAAAAATATTCTTACACTAATTCATCTCAAAAGGTTCTATTAACAGTCCTTTTGGAAAATACCATATATATAGTGGTGAATGTTTTTTCCCAGAATAATTAATGGAAGAAAATGTATCCTCTGCACAGATGAACATTTTCTAACACTACTAATCTTCCATCAGCTAGCATTGTTTTTACAAAAGCATGCAATATAAAATACACATAAAAGCAGCTATCTTAAACATGATTTTAATACAATATTACCTTTGTAGCTGATTTATCACTGTCTCCAGTTTAACATGCTGTTACATACATGAAGAAGCTCCAGTATCCCTTTTCTGACTGTTTAAAAAAATCCCTGAATAGAACAGAAGCCAGCCTGTGACTTCTTTAGGCATTTCAGTAGAATATTATCTATGGAGGACATCTCCACCCAAACTCATGATTACAGAACAATCTAAAACAGATCTGGTACAGATTACAGAGTTAATATCAATTTAAAAATTTTGTTTAGAAAGGAAACAAAGGGTGCTGATTACTAGTATTTAAAAGGATACTGCAACTTTAACAACTGTAAACTTTGTGTTAGAAGGCTGTGGCAGACAGCTCTGTGCTACTAGGTTTTTAGCTTGTAAATAATGCAAACACATCAGCAGTTTTAAAATGCCATAGACTATAAAAACACAAAAGGAAATGAGGGAAACAAAACAAAAAATTCAAAAATGCTTATCTAAAATAAAGCTGTATAACCAGCACATCTAAAAGTACAAAAAAATTAGAGCAACTGATTAGGGGAGGAAAAAACCCTCTGATACAAACTTTAACTTCTTGACCTGTTTTTAAATGACATGAACTTTTAAATTACAATGAAGAAAAAAGGGCTTTACAAATGGATAGTTTTAACTCAGTAAAATAATGCCAATAAGATAAGCTTGCATAGAAAAAAATTTCAAATTATTACTGGCTACATGCTTAACAAATTAGAAATGTAGGTATTATAATCATAGTGCAAAACCATGGCAGTTTGTGATGTCTGTTACCGCCTAAGGTTGAGAAATAGACCGTAGTACCTCCAGTTATCACAGTTTCTGGTCTTGTAATCAATTATTTCTACCAACTAGAAGCAATGTGTATGTAAAGATGAGTGGCACATCTGCTGTGCTACTAATTAACCAAGTTTGAGGTCATCACCACCACCTAAATTAGAACCAGGACTAGGGTCTTGTTGTCTTCTTGCCTGCAATGACAAAATAATAATTTAGGATCAAAATGTATCTTGAAAATCAAAACATTATACATATAAAATATACTAAGACACAGCAGTACATAAGAAAAGCTCACAAATAAAAAAAAACTTTAACCAGAATCTCCACATGTAAGAGGCAAAGGAACAATTAAAATCACATGTGAAATATTCTGCCAAAGTTTCCTTAAAAACCAAAAATAAAACTCATTTTATATTCAAAGACCATTATCATAGATTTGTACTACATATAAAAAGAACAACAAATCTAAGTTTACAGTAATGGAACTAGAGGGGTTAACTTTAACATACCAGTCTTAGAAGCATTATCAGCCTAGAAGCAAACTTTCCCTTTTAGTAATAGCTGACATTTATTAAGTACCTACTATGTGCTGGGCACTATTCTAAGCACTTTGTATGGATGGACTAATTTAATTCCTCCCAACATTCTATAACATAGGTACTATTATTTATCCCCATTTTATAAGAAAATTGAATCACAGAGAAGTATACGGTCTACTAATTATGTAACTGAAAAATGCGGTAGTGAATTCCATCTCTTCCTAAATACCATCTCTGCCAACTGAGTTTTAACCAGAAATCTCTACCTCAAGAAATAAAGTCCAGAATTGCTATGAAAAAAATATTCTCTCAAAAGACAGAAACACAAAATGAGAGTCCTTGGTGCATACAGACGATACCCAAAAGTATCTTTATAACAATACTTAACAACCAAGAGCCTTGACAATTATAAACGCTGAGGATTTCAAGATTCACTTTAGAATGAACACACTTATTTAAAATATTTCTGGCAAATTAGTTAACAGAGAGCACCTACCAACTAACATATTGTGTATGATAAAAAAAAACCCACTGCCGTCAAGTCTAATTCTGACTCATAGTGACCCTACAGGACAGAGTAGAACTGCCCAATAGGATTTTCCAAGGCTGTAATCTTTATGGAAGTAGACTGGCACATCTTTCTCCCATGGAGCGGCTGGTGGGTTCAAAATGCCAACCTTTTGGTTATGAGCTGAGCACTTAACCACTGTGCCACCAGGGCTCCTACTGGTGCTGTAAGATCAGATCAAGTTTAGTTAGAAGCTCCGGCTAGGTCATCATTTGTTATGTTATTTAAATAAAAATGACAGTTATCTTATTCACTTTCAAACAAATCAAAATCCAACACAGCTTTAGTCTTTCTTATAAATTTTGATACGCTCCTCTAGTGGATTTTAACTATTTTATATTATCAAACTGTACCTTGACTAAATTTCAGCACATTCCTTTCAATTAACTACCCAGGTTAAACTTAAACTGCATGATCAGAGACTGAAAAAGCAATGGAATTCATCTGCATTAGAAAAACAATTTATGTTTCATACAGAATCAGTGCTAAGTATACGACAGATCAATTCTATAATATCAGCGATGGTGATATAAGCATCTGGTTTCAGTCAATGAAGGTTAGAAAGGGGCTGAGCAATGAAGAAACACTGAGAAAAATCAATCTTAATTATATATTTATAAATCACTACGAACCTAACACTAACACTTTGTGAAAAGAATGTTTTAGCTTTTGTCTTTTATTTTAATAATAATGGGATGACTCCAAACGAGTGACAAAAAAATAGTCACCAGTAGCTGGAATTTTCTTTACTGGTCATGGCTGTGCACAAGTAGTCATTGGTTTATTTAAAATATTGTATTTGGCAAAAGCATGGAAGACCAGGAGTAAAGAAAAGCTGTCTTGCTATTTGTGTTTTAAGTTTCTGTTTACATTGTAAAGAAGGAATGGAGGAAGATGTAAGGGAAGAAAGACTTCGTGAAGGGGGGTGTAAATAGGAGGAAAAACAGAAGAGGGAAGTCTGCTAGAGGATGAATGAGAGCAGAAGAGGGAAGAATGAGAGAGCTTGGAGACTGGGAGGAAACCGAATGCTACAAGATGTATGGGCTGTCATATGAAGGAGACAAATACAAAATCAGATTAAAGTTCAGTGAAATAGCTTCCACAGGACTAGAATTCAACAACTGGATGAGCCGCCTTGAGAAGGAGTACTTCCTGACTACTGTAGCAGTTTTCTAACAGAGGCTGGACATTTTAGAAGGAATTCCTCTGGATAATAAGCTGAGCTAGGTGGTGGCAAAGAAACTTCCTGGACTTGATGATTGTAAATGAATATAGTCTATAATTTCTAGTTCTTTTCTCCCCAGTCAACCCAAGTGCGCCCTGGAATCTAACCTTTTACTAACAGTTATTTCAGGACAGGGTTTTAATATAAAGCAGATGTTCAGGAGTCTGACTTCAGAACACAAATCTGTTTTTAATATTTATAAAGATTAATCTAGACCTTTTACTACAGTTTGTTTGTTTTCTTTCTGTCAGTATACCATCACCCAGACATGGCAAATCTGGTTGTAGGAGGCAGTCATGACTCCAAAATGAGAGCAAAAGAACAGCCCTCAGCAGCTACAGTTTTCCCTACTGGTCAGGGCTATGCAGAAACCAAAAACAGGGGTGTCCAAATGAATAAAAATTCTTGGTTGATTTCCATCCTATTATTATCAAGATCAACAAAGTTAAAAACTTCTGATGGAAAAATGCCCTAAAAATTAAAAAATGTCTACAATTTATTTGGAGTGTACTATGTCAATATATTATGCAAATCACTCTGCTACTTGGCTAACAGTCACAACACAGAATTAGATAATTTTAGAGCGGCAAAGTACTTCAGAGATCTGGTTCAACAATCAGTTTACAGATGATAATAAGCCTGAGGTTAAGTGATTTCCCTAAGGTCCTCACATAGTTGGTAGAGTCAGGACATCAACTTAGATCTCTGGAAAAGATGAACCTTTAACTCACAATTCGCACTAATGTCCGCTTCCTAACTCATTGCTGTATCTCCCAGTTACCAAGGCTGGAGGAGACATGGCAGAAATCTTAAGTCCTAATATTAGAGAAAGGGATGCTAATCAAAAATCACTTTTCCAAAACTCATTAAAAAGATGAAAACAAAGTCAGTAGACAATTACAAACATCTGCCAGATAAGTACACTGCAAGAGCTGGTCCAACAGGCATATCAAAAATATATAGTTCTTATAAAATATGCAACCTCAAGAAAACTTTAAATATAAGGTGTGATGGTTAATTTTATGTCAACTTGGCTAGGCCAGGGTGCCCAGTTCTCTAGTCAAACACAGGTCTAGATGTTGCTATGAAGGTATTTACATGTGATTAACATTTACAATTAGTTGATTTTAAGTAAAGCGGACTACCCTCCATAATGTGGGTAGGCCTCATCTACTCAGTTGAAGGCCTTAAGAGTAAAGCTGAGGTTTCTTGAGGGAAAATGAATTCTGCCTCAGCACTGTAACAGATATCCTGCTGGTGTTTCCAACCTGTTGCCTGGCCTATAGATTTTTTTTTTTTTTTTTTTTTTTTTGACCTTGTATCAGTTAATCTTTTTTTTTTTTTAATTGTACTTCAGGTGAAGGCTTACAGAACAAATAGTTTCTGGCCTATAGATTTTGCATTTCCCAGTCTCCACAATCTCATGAGCCAATTCCTTAAAATCAATGTCTCTCTCTCTCTACACACACACACACACACACACACTCCCTCTCTACACACACACACACACACACACACACACACACACTCCCTCTCTCTCACTACTAATTTTGTTTCTCTGGAGAACATTAATACATAAGGTAATAAAATAAAAAGACAGTGGGAATAATTTATATTTCTGGGCTTGAAACCAGGATGGCTCTACCATTTTAGCTACATGATCTTAAGCAAGATTCTTACTCTCTCTCAGCCTTAGTTCCTCAAAATGGAGATACTCCTTTATAAAAGCATTTAAGACAGAATAAAACAAATACTTTTAGCGTATATGATCTGGCACATAGTAAGCCCTTATGCTGCCGTTGTTATAACAAAGATGCTCATCACTTCCCAATTTATCTATATGCACTTCTCAAATATTAAAAATATCCGTATCCTGCAGATAGTGATTTTTACAAACTAAAGATTAAAACAAAATAAATTTTAATGAAATCTACATCTTCTATGATGGAGAACAAACCAAGACTCTATCTCTCTTACTATGAGAGAAGACAGATCTGGTATCCTCTTCCTCTCTCAGGAATCCTCTACACAGCAAATGGAGTACACATTCCCAGTTCACTCTTATCTACTGCCCTTACACAAAACACACTTCAGAAAGGCCCAGTACAGAGATATTCTTTTGCTGATTTGTCCTTATAAAAAAATAAGTGTTAGAATAGCTAAATGATTTGAAAACTAAAGTCTGTGGGAATTTAAAATAAATAGAAGCTGTAATTTTTTCTTGGACCACATAGAACTGAATTTTCAAAAACATACAAAACACAAATGCAAAAACCACATAAAGCCTTTTGCTTATTTTTATTTCCAAACAGTTTTCACATAAAATGCTCCTATGATTTGCTGAATTGTATTAAAACTGCCTGTAATAGAAAAAGCAATAATTATTTACGCATTCTCTGACATTAAAGACGACCATTTATCTGCTAACACTTTATAACCTAACCAAATGAAAGCATTTTCTAGATAATGATAGAGAAAATCTCTTTCATATCCTGTCACCTTGCAGCTGAATTAAAAGACAACAGTGCTATATTACAGTTTTGGATCAAAAGGCCAATCAAGTTGAAGGCAATCTCTAGACACTGAGATGGTGTACAGGCAGGTATCAAATAGACGACAGAGCTATCTTTCCAACTTATCTATGATTAGAGCACTAACTCCCTTATTATCCTCAATCTTCTTCAGAACAGCCAAAATCTGAATTAGTTATAGGGATGCATAACTGAAGAGAACTGCCATGAAAAACATGTTTTCCAATAGCAGAAGGACTGTCAGGTAGCAAAGGTACTGGGCTAGTTCCATGTGGCAACAGATACCAATGGGTAGTTACTTCATAGAAGTAATGCCTATGTTTTTTTT